GCAATGATGTAATTAATGTAATTAGAGATTATCCAAAGCATTTTAAATAATATTAAATGTCAAATTTACAAACTAACAAAAATTCAGTCTTAGAATCAGCGATAAACTAGATTGGTCAAGAATAATCTGAAATATTTGTTGAGAATCTCAAATTCCATCTATGTGCTGAGGAATAGTATGAAAAAGTAGAATAATCACTTAATGTGAAAGAGCAAAAGATTAGTAAGTAAAATTTTTAATTCTAAATTCCTACTGAAATTAGCCAACTTACGATAATTTATAGTATAAATTCCAATTAATAAAAACTCAATTTTGTATTCTGGATTACATTCTCACTGCTATGTGAAGCTAGATAGTAATTACACCCCAATATCTTACAATGAAAGATAGAAGTACAAGTCTATCATGACATTTCAAGATGTTGATTAGGTTAAAAAATTCTATAAAAGTGTTTAGCACTTTGAATCTGAACTATTCGAGGAACCTTACCTTCTATTTAATGAAATCTCTATTCAGCTGTGCTATTAGAATATCAAGAGATGCAAACCAAAAAACCCTAAGGAAAGGAAAAAATATTGCAGCCTTTACCTTTAGAAATTTCAGATTGATGAAAAGATAGATCCAAAAATCATGAATGACTGCTTTGAGTAGTTTCGCCCGATAGAATTCAATGAGGAAGTCTATGCTAGATAGAACTAAATTGATAAAATGACAATACTTGAGTATTTTAATGTTTACTTGCACTAATCTTTCTGCCCTGTTTGCCTTATTTTTATGTGTCCTCGCCATCTTGATGGGTCTAATGAACGAAATCCTTGGATTTTTCAAAGGATAAGACAATTACCTTAAGTTTAAGGATTTGATCTGGAAAATTTGAAGCAAGAGAAAAATAACTATTACTTGAATGACTGGATCTTTAAAATGGAGGGAAACTGTGATTAGATGGTTAAAGTAAACAATCTCAGATGTGATAGCTTTGACAGTGCCTAGTGTCACTATCAGTAAAATCATGTTAAGATTGAAAAGAAAGAGCAAATAAGGAATATTCCAATAATACTTAAAAACAATATAACTCTAATTATTAAGCAGTTCTAAACTGTTAATCCCTGCTTTATAGTCAAACTATTCAATAGTTATGGATAAAGGAATCTTAAATGCCTTCAAATCTGTTTGATTGTAGAATTCATAGTTCAAGAAAAGTTAAAAGAGGGAGAGACTTTGATAATGCCTCCTATTGTAATAAGTCACCATGACTTGACTAAATTTCATGAAACTTCGTACTTTGAAAATTATCTCAAGAAAAATTAGCATGCATACTTTGACTCTGAAGGAATACCATTTCACTATGTACCCTGTGATCATGAGGGTCCATGCAACTAGAATTGTCAATGTGTCTAGAAAAATCTCCTCTGCGACTCATATTGCTCTTGCAAGTATTTTTGTTTGAATGCCTTCCCTGGATGTAATTGCAAATCTGAAAATGACTGTTAAAACAAGGCAAAGTGCCTCTGTCTAAAAAACAATAGGGAATGTGACCCAAATAAATGCAGAAGCTGCAAATCGTATATTAATCAAAACATACCAAAGAAAGCAGATGGTAGCAATGTTAGTAGCTCAGACAAAGTATTATGCAAAAATGTACATTTAGGGTAAAAACTCCCACTAAAAAAGGTCTTTACTGCTAAGTCTACATTATGTGATGAAATCGTTGGTCTTTTTGCTGGGGAAAAAATAAAAAAGGAAAAAATTATAATGGAGTATACCGGAAAAGCACTTATATAAGATGGACCTAAGGAGTAAATGGATTAGCTTATAAATGATTTTCGTGGAAGATCATATGGATTCACTCTAGATAAAAGTATTACTTTAGACGCTGTATATATTGGCAACTTGATGAGATTTGTGAACCACTCACATGATAAGCTAGCTAATTGCTATGTAAAAATGGTATTCTCTCAAGGTCAGTAAAGAGTTTGCCTTATTTCAAGAAGATAAATAGAAACTGGGGAAGAATTATTCTTTGATTACTAATTTAAATAAGACTTTGATTGGCTCTCAGATTATAGGCAAAGATACACTGATTGTTTATGAATTCAATTTAACAAGTTTAATTCTAAATTTTCTTCAAACCAATTTTGATATATGCTCCAGCGCGGGGTTTTGGGGTTTTGGGG